CGTAAGCTAGGGACAGGGCACAGTTTATTTGCATCTCAAATATCAAGATGCAGAAACTAATAGACAGGTTCACCTATCGTACTGTTTTCACTCCCCCCGGTCTTTCGAACAGGAGTAGAGGTTTATCCCTTATTTTCTGTTTAGCATTGGATTTTTGGTTCCTTCTAAGATCTGTTTCAACTCTATACTTCTTTTGTTTTTTCTACACTAATATAAGTTCATACGGTAACCGTCTACCTTGTGTGGCTCTTGGGCCTTGTATTGGGTGAGCATTTTAAAAGAAAAAATCAGCCATAATGTCAAAAAGTAATTAAAGTCGGAATAATGTCCTCATATTGAATGTTTTGATTTTGTACCCTCCGGCCTTCCTGTGATTGTCGATCCGGGCATCCTTCATGGAACTTTGAAATTCACACTTCATTTCGTCTATAAGCTTGGCTTATTCTCGCTTGTCTTCACCTGTTTTCACTGAGTCCGTACTCCTTGGCCTGTCAGGAATTGGGCTCCTCTAGGATATTCCTGGGACATTCCTGAAATTAAAAGTTGACGCCTTAAACCAAATGTTCTTAAGACTGCTGCCGTAAACTTGCTGCGAAACTTGAATGCCTCTGCCGCCGCCTCCCTTTCTTACTCTTGCCGCAGAAGCCTGGTTGGAAAGCTTCGCTTTCTGCACCATTGTCTCAAATTCATTCTGTAAATAATAATAATAATAATAATATGTGGCACATGAGAACATCAACAATCCCTGTTGTAGTTGGAGCCCTCGGATTGGTTGGAAAAGATTCCAGTAGACTCATTGAAAGGGATTACTAAAAGCCCATGCCTTAAAGAAATACAAAATAAATTGTTCTCACGAGTACAGCTCACACCTTACGAAGGGCTTTATCTACGTAAAATATGTGTGTGATTTTTTTTTTTTAATTGGTTAGTGGAAAATGTCATGATGCCATTTCTGACCTTAGGTCTCTGTGCGGGACCCGGAAACACACCACGAATCAAAGAAATAATAATAATAATAATAATAATAATAATAATAACTTCCCATCCAAGAAATTTAAACACAAAGATAAAACTTATTGACAAAAATATAACAGATATAAATTTACTGTTTTGGTTAAAGTCTGTGGATCATTACGATTGAAGTAATTTCGAAATTTTAGTTTATGCCTAATATTCAAATCTCCATGTCAAGGATAAATTTAACGTAATCAGTAATGGTGAGTGTCTCAGCATGGAGCTAGTCTCGTGTTATAGTCATTTGGATACCGACTGGGTTCATTTGAAACCTTGAGTAGCACTTAGATAATCTTAGTAATGATATTAAACGCAAACATAATAAAAAAATGGAGCAATTTACTCATAGAAATCAAGATTTCAGGTGTGTGTAGGTCAGTGGTGGAGAACAGGGAGGAGAGCAAAGGTATTTATGGACGAGGAAGATTGTCATTTATTCTTTCTCGTGTTCTTTGATGGATTGCTTCTCATTTAAACAATGTCTAATTATTTAGGCAGCAATTTGTAACGACACCAATCTTATTTAAAATGATAACGTGTGTGTTTATCGCTGGAGGTAGACAAAGGAAATAAAAAGAAAGAATAGAAAACAGGAGAAGAAGACTAGAACTGAGAGCTGAGGAGGAACAAAAATTTTGCCTACAGAGGTAGGACCTTCAAGTCAGCAGATGGTTTGTATTCAAAGTTGTCCTTCTTCTAATTTGGTTGCCAACATAGGCTATAGAGCTGTCTGTCCTGATATTTACCCATAGCTTTTAAAGGGAAGAAATGGATTCATTCTTTTCTCAAGTGTATTATGCAATGAATTTGTACTCGGCTCTCCGATTCCTCAATCGTAGCCTCTAGCCATTACTCCACCGCCTCTACAAAGATGAACCGCAACAAATATGAGTATGTCAGATGCTTTTCAGTAGCCTGTCCTTAACCATTCGGGCGTGTCTCCTAGTGGTTGACGCGTTGTTCATCTATGTTCGGATGTGTAGTGACGG